GAGGGGCTGAGGGTTGTTTTCAGGCTGGCCATGTGCCCTGGCAACCCAAGCTCCCAGCCTCTCCTTTTTTTCTTTTCTGAGATTTATTTATCTTCTATAATTGCAACTTTGTAGCCTTGAGCAGAGCTGAGGGCCAGCCGGCCAGGGCAGGCGGGAAGCTTGGCTTCCTCCATCGCCGGGGGCAACCCAAGCCTCTTGCTCCAGCTCTGGTGCTGCCACCATCTTAGCTGGGTTAATTTGCATACTCGCTCCTGATTGACTGGTGGGCATGGCTTGTGGGCATGGCTTGAGTGTAGCGGAGGGATGGTTAATTTGCACGTTTCTCTTATATAGGATGAAGAACATGTATTTTAATTGTCTTATTTATTGGTTTATAAACAATTATTAACCACTTTTAATGATCTGAATCTCTAGAATTTTGGGGGAACCTCTAAGTGTTCATAAATTTGAGTTTAAAATGCTGTTATAAATCAAAGAAAAAAGAACTTGATATAGAGAAACTAGATGCCAAATTTGTGGCCACATTTTCAAGTGTATAGGATTGAATGGCATTATACATAATTTATTAAACTTCATTTCATCCTTTATTTCATCTTTATTTTTTCTATCCCTTTTTTTCTTTTGCTTCAATTTCCTTATCTATTTTTTTGTTGTGTCATGTATTTTTACATATTTCCTCAATTTCTCTTTGGAATGAGGCAGACTTAATTGGTAAATGTTTATATTGAAATAGCATATTTGCCAGTTTTTTAAAACATAGGAAGTCCATATTCAGGATCTGGAAAAATTTGTATTCTAAATAAAGTTGTATTATATAGTATGATTTAATTTTAATGTTTTAACATTAAATTTTATTTGGAACAAGTTAAAATTAATGTTAGCATTACAAAATGATTGTTCTAATGTTTCCCAGCTGCTAATAGGTTATGAAAACGGTACTGTGGTATTCTGGGACTTGAAATCTAAAAGAGCAGAACTGAGACTTTATTATGATGAGGTAAGTGACTTCTCCTGAAATACTTGAAACAGTGTTATGACTTTGTGTCTGTTTTTTTTTGCTTTTAAGCTTTGTATGTTACCAGTATTCTTATCATTGGGACACTGACTGATTCTGATTCAATGCCTCATACTTCCTGTTGGCATTTGCACAAGTTCCAATTCTGGGTTGTTTTCCTGAGTGGTTATTCTGCCTTGACTGCCCATTTTTTGGGCCCTTTATGGCATCTTATATACTTTGGTGCCTATTACCTATAGTGTATAGCCACCTTCATCTAAAGTTTTTTCCTTTCTTTAGGCTGTGTGCTTTTGTCTTAAGTCATTATCCTTAAGGTCTCTAAAGACACTATTCACACAGAAAATTATTTTTATGTATCATCAAATTTAATTTGTTGAATGGTCTTATCTTCTAGTACTGCTGCCTTAGAATAGAGATCTTGTACATAGTAATGCCTAATAATAAGAGTCAGTAAGATCTTGAAGTTTTATTGTACGTAGTTGAGGCTGATTTCATTTAGAGAAAGCAATTAACTCCTATTTATAAAGGAATAGTCTCTGACCTGATACTTCATATGTTCAGAGATTGATTCTAGGCCATTAATTTTTGCCATCATCAGGAAAGGCTAATGTGAAGACAGTGAAGCTGGAGGCAAAGGTGAGAAAGAAAGAGGAATTACCTCTTATAGCTGTGGAAATAAAGGTTAACATCTGTGATTTCATTTAAATTGGTAGACTAGGGAGAGATAAGAGGAATATACAGGTCAACAATTGCTGTCTGGTAACCTATGCTT